ATATTTACAGACCTATAGCTAAAATGACCTGACACATAGCTATTTGGCTATTTTACTTGAAAGAAATATAAAAGAAAGCTGTAATGTATAATGAATAAACAGTCCCTGCATCTAATGACCTTCATTCAGTTTCTTCACTCAGAATCCCTGAACTTTGATGACTTTTTCATTTATACTGCTCTCAATAGCCAATAAATTAACTTTCATTTACACAGTAAGTCTTTGAGTCGACAAAGGTAATAAACACTGCCCAGTAACTACACATGATTGGTCAATGTTAGCCAATTTGGCCACTTACACTTAATTTTAACAACCGTTCTGTATTCTGAGCACTTAGCTTTTCATTATAATTATTTGCAGAAAACAAAGTCATTTTGACTGATTGAATGGATTGCGGCAAAAAAATAAAAAATAAAAAATGCTCAAACAAGCAAAATGTGTACATTATGAAACCTTGACTGTATTGTGTGTGAACAAACCATGAAATCAAAGGTCCAGGGTTAAGAACATTCACTTATCATTAACAGGGTCAACAAAAATAATCGTTCAACTACCATTCAAGAGCTAGTTTTCAACCATGTCCTCAACATTTAGGCACTATTAGCTCACTGCACAACCTGGTTGCAAAGTGCAACACATAAAAATCAGAATGTGGCTTTCATAACATCTCAAATGTTTGCTTCATTACCAACATGTTGCAGTCCGTAACCCCAACTTTACCTCCAAACCGTAAAGGGAAACCGCGGTCACTCCCTTATCCATTCCCCTAACCTACAAAGCCGCACCCCAAATTAACATGTACACAAGTCTATTACCCATTCATCCCAAAAAAGGACATATGTTATTTAGAACTTGTTAAGACCGAAAGTATGCAGGTCATTATAACAAGCAAACCTGACAAATTAGGCTTTGGCTGCCAATGAAAACAAAGGCTCTGTGGAAGATTCTTGTCCTCAGGAAAGAATCTTTATTCTTGGCAGGATGCCTGGTTGAGATGTCATACTGAGTGAGAGGTGACACATACAGTATGTAGTTTTACGCTTCCAGTTATCCATATCGTAGAGATGAGGTGTGTATGGGAAGATGCAAATGCTGAATGTTGCTGATGAGCTTTCAAACTGTTACATCCCTTTCCAACAATACCACCCAACTTTAACTGTGGTTTCAGGGATTCCTTACTCTACGAGCTTTCTTGCTCTGTGCTTAGAGTAAGAAATATCTTACTTGCAATTCAATGCCAGAAGTCATGGTTATATTTTAGGTTAATCTCCAATTCCTGGAGATCACCAATAAAATTGTTGGCAGCTTTTTTGGTTATTGATTTAATCAACTGCATCAATTATTCGCTGCACCACTACTTTAACAATGAGTGTGTTGGATATATGATGTACTTGTGAGCGTCAGCCTACTCCAGCTGTCTGCCCAAACCAGTTCACAGGCTTTGCTGTATTATCACTGTCCCTCAAAAGTCCATCCCCATAGAAGCCTAATAGGGGCATGTGGTGATACACATACACAACATACCCAGACTGTTGATATAAGGCCCTCAATCATACGCAATGTGTCTGGTCATTTATCTCTATCTACTTTAACCAGCATGTACGTACAATACGCATATTTTTAGTCCTGTCACTCTGTTTCATGGTCATGGTAAACATTTGAAAGACAACAGACTCTGTGGCACCTTTGAGGCCTGAAGTGTCTCACATTCTGCTGCTCTACTTTTAGCAACTTACAAAGCTCATTTTTCACAGTCTGCTCACAAACATGTCAAGCTCAGAATAATATTCAGTGGCCTTCAAGTAAAACACAGACAGCTACGACAGATACACTGGCCCAGAGTTTCAAATACTGTTGTCTGCACAAAGGTTGTCACCTTAATTTTTGGCAGAGTAGAAACTTTTATGATCCCAGAAACAATTGTGGGTCATGCAAAGCAGCCGTCTCCAACCTTTTTTGCACCACGGACCGGTTTTAAGCAAAAAAATTTTCTACAGACCAGTCATTGCGAACATAACAAATAATTATTTAAGTAAGAGATGAGAAGGAGACATAAGATAAAACAAGATAAACCTTTATCAATGCCACAGTAGGGAGATTTGCAGTGTATATATACATATATAGTAGATGTTTGGGAATGAGCAGTAGAAGTGAGAAGAATGGTAAACTGGCACATGCACTCATCTAAATGTGAGGAAAAGTGTATAGCAGCGCTTCCAGGTGGTCTGTCAGGTGGTCAGTCAACACAAAATCCTGCTTCTCCCAGACTCCCATCCTGCCCGTTGTGGGACACAGAAAGTCACAAAAAGCTGTTAAAGTGCCAGACCATCTGGCAGCTCAGAGTTGAAAGACTTCCACACCTGCAGTGGCTGGACAATCTCCTCTGAAGCTTCAAGCAAACCGTCATATTTAACAGGCATTCACAGGCCATCACAGACACAATTACCGCCAAGTTAAACACATCCTATTGACAATGCCAATTAGCACTAATGTGCAGTGACAGGCACCTCCCCCTGTTTTCACAGGGCCAAACACACAGTACACACATAAGGCCTGTACTCTTACGCTTTCTGTTCACATTTGATGCTAAGTGGTTATAGGCAGTAGACAACTACAGCTCCCAGGAGTCTTACCGATCGGCCATCTGGAACTGAAGCTGTTGAATACTAGTAATGCACTAATTGCTATACGTTGGTTAGTACAATGAGGTGTTTGCCAGTCAGTACATTTATATTGGGGACAGAGCCACCTGTTATATTATATACTTGCATCCATCCATTGCCCTGCCTTATCCTGTAGACCATCACAGGGCCTATTCCTGCTGACAATGAGCAAATGGTGGGGTACATCCTGTCACTAGTCCATCACAGGGCCAACACAAATAGACAACCATGCACACTCACATTCACACCTACGACCACTTTAGAATCACAACTCAACCAAGCATGAATATATTTGTACTGTGTACCTAGAGGAAACCCAGGCACAGGGAGAACATACACACTCCATAAACCGCCAGCCAGCTGACCGAAAGGTCACCCCAGAACCTTCCTGTTGTGGGGCGAGTGCTACCCACTGCACAACTGTGCTGCCTTATGTTTTAACTTTAGGTCTTAAGAACTGAACTACTGAAGTCTGATTTTCCTGCACCAGCCGTAATTCAAGTGGACTGACCCTTTTATTGAAGGCACTATGTTGCTGTGTTTTTAAGGGATAGAGATTCATCTTTATGAAGTAAGTTCCATTAAAATGTTAATTTTTTTTTATTTGAATGAGGCTAAACTGTCACCTCGCAGCTAGAAGATTCCCGGTTCGCTTCCCGGTGAGGGCGCCTGAGATCTTTCTGCGTGGAGTTTGGATGTTGTCCCCATGTAGTGTGGGGTCTCTCTGGGTTCTCCGGCTTTCTCCCACAGTCCAAAAACATGTGGTGATTCTAAAATTGTCCGTAGGTGTGAATTTGAGTGTGCTTGGCTGTCTGTCTTTAAGTGTAGCCCTGCCTTCGCCCTGAGTCAGCTGAGATAGACTCCAGCCCCCCTCGACCCTAGTGAGGATTAAGCAGTGTGTAGATAATGAATGAATGGATGAGGCAAAACAGCAGCTTACATGAAAATGTGTTTTTTGACCTTAGAAAGGTCTTTTGTGTTCTGTGAGGTAAAATGTTGAAAAGGCCTGACTTTGTCCCATGTGCAGAGAAAATAACTACAGTTTTTCATGAAGCGGGGGCTTCGAGGTTTCCATATAAGGTGTGAGACAGTCTTTCCCATCTCTAGTACCCATCTTGATGTGAATTTAATAAGTGCAGGAGTCAACACATAGACAAACACACACAGACACTCCCCCTGTCTAAGTGACGACTTAATGACTGCCATCTGGACACTGCAGCAAAGAAACAGGCGTCTTTAGACACTAAAGAGGACACTCAGAAAGGCTCAGCAATTTGGCAGCTTTAGATGCAAATGTGAGACAGCTACAGAGTATTTTCAGTTACATAAAGCTTCAGGATTTTTATGACAATTTTACAAGGTCTTACTAAGACAGAAAGGCAAAAAGATGACTCCGGCTATCAGAGGCAAAGTGACAACTAGTGCACTGCCTAGCCTCAGACAACTGCTACTTCAGCATATGTTCAGTTATCAGAGACAAGAACACTGATGTGATTGCTACTCAAGCAGTGCCTCAATGATGACACACCAGCTTGCATCAACACCTAATATAACACAAAAAAAGCCCCGGCTGCCAGTTAAGTTGCAAGTACGCTTGAGATAATCTGACTGAGCTGAAGGACAGAAGTGCAGAGGATAGAAGAATTACAACGGAAAGTTTTGTTCTACAGATAGACAGACAGATCCAAATCAATTTTCAGAATCAAGGCCACATGTTGATAACTGTGTGGAAAGCTGTAGTTATAAGTGCAACATCCATAAAGTGGAAAAATGAAACAATGAGACAAATCAAAACGCAACTGATGGTCGTAATCGTTGAATATTTGTCTTAACTTTTGGCAATGTTTTAACTGAGCTCCCCTTCCACTGTCACTCAGTCTTCTGACCCAACCATTAAGTTCACTAGCATCTCAATAGAAATCACACCTGGCATGTCTACATATTTCACTATCAATAAACACACAAGGAAACAGTATCTGACGCTGTAGCACCGTATGAGTGACTGTTCGTAAAGTACACTGAGCACAACGTGGGAACAACCTGGAGAAATGAGGACATCATACTGTCAAGTCAAAAGTCTGGCAACAACTACTTTAAATAAGACTCTTTCAATAATGAATTCTAAAGAAAATAAAGATGTTGTGCAATTAGTCTTCATACCAAACATGTGTTTAAGCCCCACTTAAAACATAGAAACAGCCACAAAATTCGAGTCCATGCTGCCCCTGTTGGGTGAATGATGAGATTTAAGTAACCTTTGCAGAGACAGTATGTTTTGGCCTTAAGAGAAAGGGTAAAACATGTGGTTGGGTGAATGGATGAAGGGGTGGAACTCACCTGGAGGACACAGACAGCTGTGAGATGTGTCCCTCGCCTCCCGTGTCTTTGGTAGTCGTGCTGCAAGCTTCTGCACAAGAGAGGGAACAAAAATGTGTCAGAATGTGACGGCATTTTAACATCATGGTGAACTAAAAAACACAAACACACATACATCATACACACACAATTTGCACCTCCTATTACTATGCCTTTGTCAAACCATGAAGGTCTCAACTAAATTTAGAGACCAAATGTCATCTTAGCTGGCTGGTGAAGTCTGAAATAGCAGGGAGCAGTTGCCATCACAACTGAAAATAGTCGTATTTGTATCTAATACTGATTACATGAAACTGAATGTTTTTGTTAAGCCTATGATCCGTGCACTATTAAATGTGTGGCGAAAATAAATCAGAGCTAAATACATCATTCATATGATCCGGTTTACTTTATTCAAGGTATTGTATCCCTTAAAAAAAACATGAATGGTAATTATGTTGAAATATTACAAGCTATTCTGATCAGAAAAGCAGCAAAGTCCAGTTGCTTTTCAGCTCATTATTGTATTCATTTAGTTTAGAATTTCTGTTTTCTATCCATGCAGACATTGTAAGATAATTCTTGGAAAATCCGTTTTGCAATTTTACATTTTAGCTCAACAGACAGTACACATGAACAGCTTGGTTGTTTTTTAATTAATTATCCCCGAAAATGTTGTGTCATTTTAAATTTGGTGTGTCCAATTAAGGCTGTTTGACAATAAATTTGCAGGGTGCTTTTTGTTAATCGTGTGCTCTCGGGCTAGGATGATTATAGCAGCATACACAGGTAATACAATATTTTAATTTGGGATTGATTCTGAGGTTGACATCCGACAGTTAGCACTTTGCAAACTGCAGTTATTACAAAAATAATACAAAAGCTAAACTGAACATCCACTTACTCACATGTTCCAGAGTTTTCAACCTTACTTATTGAGACTTAGTTCAGAGCATTTTTATGATTTCGTTGGGTGTAAACATTCAAGCTCAACTTTGAAGCCACTTTGAAAAACTTAACATGCTGAAGTGCCAACATAACAGACCAAGTGGACCTCGACATCCTTACAAGCATACAACACCGCTTGACTGTGGGGATTCAGAAAAGGTGTTCACATTTGCTGAGGTGATTTGACCACTGTAAAGCGCATGTGAAGTCACTCGAACAAAAGGATGGAAGAGCTGTTTTACTTTAGATCCATCCTCAAAAGCATGTGGAGTTGTCGAGAAAAACAGCTGTGAGCTTCATACTCATGCTCAGATTAAAATTTATGGTGCTTACATGATGTGTTTAAAAAAGACTTGTTTTATTACTTGACACAACCAACACCTTTTAGTCTTTCTCGAGGTATCAAAGTGTGACAGTTGACCTCATTAGATCAACAAATGACTGCATGTCATTTGACCCTGAACAGAATACAAAACCATCCGAGTACATTCTCCGCAGCATAGCGGTCAGTCCCACTGGTGGTGGTTACTAGCAGAGGAATGCCAGTGAGAGCTGTTTAGAGGCCTGCGACAGGTGCTGAAGGGGATGTTATGAAGGCACAGTCATTCCGAGCACTGCTGCGGTATTCTGGGTAGCGCCTGTTACCTCAGTGTGCCCATTAACCTGGCTTCTGAGACTACAGGGATCATTGAGAGAAATCAGGCAACACAGGCGAAGTTCAAATTCTGATTGTTTTGAAACTCCTGCCGGTCACAGGCCAAAGAGGACAAGGAAAGCAGATTGTCTGCTCTGAAAAGTTACTGGGGCTAAATCCAACTCACAGACAAATTTGCATGCTGTTGGACAATAAGCACTTTGTTTAAAGCGTGCTGAGGCTGTAAAGCAAGATTTTTGTTGTTTTTTTTTTTAAATCTTGTTACTGCACATACAATGATTTCTATATGGCTGGATGAGCACAATAAACAGCCAACATAATGGGTGTTTCAGACATTTAGGGTTTTGTACATAACAAACCTAAGAAGCCAGTCCTATCAGTTTGCAGGGTGGGACTTTCTGCATCACTGTTCTTCTGAGTTTTTACTGCAAAGCCTCTTTGAGGTCAAAGATACACCAAATGTAGATAAAACTGTGAGAACAATTGAAAATAAATGTACATTTTGCAGACTTTCTATGAATGTTTTATTCCTTAAGTATGAGGTTCGCTATGAAACATCCCTCAAAACAACAAAGGATTCCAAAGTGAAGTGCTCCAGTTATTCCAAACTCTCATGCGGAATCAATTGTAGGGCTGCACTCTGAGGCAGAAAAATTCCCTTAAACCACTTTATATTATTCATGAATACATCCAGGAATTTATTTGGTTGATACTGCCAGACCCCACTCACAACTGGAGAAGTCTTTAGCAGCGTTAATCCAGAGAGCTGTGCAGCCACTTTCCACCTTTTTCACTCTTTAGTTCAACCTGAGGCAGCAGAACTGACACGTTCTCTAAACTAGACAATGGAGGTAATGAGTGGAGTCAGTTCTTTAAAAAAAGAGCTGCAACTGTGGCCACATCAAAGGCTGAGGGTTGTCACAGTCTGCCAGAGGGAGAGAAATGCAGTCACCATACTTCAAGGACTGTCATTAGCCTTAACCTCATGTCCACATATATACATTCTACTATGTTCTAATGAATTAAATAGCACTCTCTCCCGTCTTCTGAGAGAGACAATAATATCATAAATGGAGGTAAACTTCAACAAGCAGAGTCAAAGAGCCAACATTTACCTAAAGCTAGACTGGCAAGGTCGGAGCTCTGGAAGCAGCAATGTCCTCAGCCCTCTGAGAAAAATATGTATTACAAATTCTAACTAAAGTACAGTCATGACTTAATAATTCGACCCTTAACAATCCAAAAACCTTGCTATCCAACAGATTTTTAGGAAAAATGAACGGAACCCATTAAAAATAGCCTTAACATACCGACAGTCTTGGATTCCGACACCGACATGACATTTTATGTCACAAATAAGGATAACGGTGAATTATCTGACTTAACAATCCAACAGATTGGCTACGTTCAGAATGCAGGACTTAATGCTCAATTCAGATTTTTTGTGAAATCCGATTTCTACTTGCGAATTCATTCACATTTCCAATCAAATACAACTTGTATGCGATCTGCTGTGTGAACTTCATATGACTCAGAAGTGTCCAGCATGTGCAGAAGAGGACACGACGACGTCACACGCAGCAAGCGGGCTCAGTGTTTACACAAGTAAACACCTATGGTGGAAACAGAGCTGCGACTGCTATCCTAAACTAGCACCAGCAGCCAAGTACTGCCTGTAAATCCACTTCCACCCCTGACTGTAAAAAGTAAGCTGCCATTTTCAAGAGTGTGACTGACGTCTCACTGTGGGTTTGACTGAGTGTTGAATCTGAGTGAAAGGGGTGAAAATTGTGCTAATCAGGTCAGGATAATATATATATCAATATATATATCAATATATGTTATGTTGATAAAAAAAAAAAAAAAAAAAAACAGTGAGCTTTTACAATATTGAATTTCCCTTCTGGGATAAATAAAGTGTTTTTCATTTAATTCATTTCATTTCATGAATGCTTCTTTGGCTCTACCCACCAAGGTTTAACTCAACCAATCATATACTTCTGCCTGCAGCTGAACTATCTCTACATCCTAATAGGGATGTTAACTTAGTCATACCATATGTTATGATGCATAGCATAAACACGTCGAGGGGCCGGCCTGCGCCTCATGTTTGGGAGACGGGTGAAGTGTGTATGAGTGAGGGTGGGGAGCTGTTCATCGTCTGCCTCCCCTCTTGACAAAGGCAACCTGATGCCAAAGTTTTTGATGTTGCTTTCAAAATCTATTTTTAAAAGATGACAAAACCTCCTACTATCCTGACGTGTAATTACATTAAGACCTGGCACTGCTGCTGCATACACTTCCTGTTATGGTGTTCTCAGTCTGGGCCTTCACTTCACGTTAGTGTTTTTCTTTTTTTGCTTCATGGAAAATTACATATTGCATACAGTATAAAAATACAAATGAATTATCATTAATTATGTTGAGATGTTGAAGCAAAATGAAAGTAAATCGGTTTTAATATAGAGTGGCAAACTAATGACAATGCAAATGCACAGGGTGTGAACGTTTTTGGAGAGCAGTGATTACAGTTTATTACCAATAAATTTTATGTTATAAAATGTTATAAATAAATATAACATCAGAAGTTTTCTTGGGAGTTTTTTGTATGCTACCAATCATATCAATGTGATTAAACTCACTAAGGTAATTAAGAAGTGCTTTAGTAAATAATGAGTTACCAATAATATGCCTTTTTTTAAAAAATCAGTGACGATTGCATTAAGTTTTAGAAGCTAACAGCAGCAAGCATGGATGTGATATGAGGATGACATCTCTCTATATTTTATCCAGCAGAGATGCTAATGTGGGGTTTTGACTTTTTGACCCAGTCGTGTGAATTCTTTCACATTTTCTGCTGATTTATCTAAAGGGCACATATTAGTAAATGGGTGTTATTAACCACACAGCCCTAAAGCATTTCATTTTTGCTGTAAAATGTCACATTGCCTCCTTGTTTTTGACAGTGATCTGATGTTTTCATTTTTGCTCATTGTAAATCTTCACCCTGATATACATCTTTGCAATATCTACAACTGTCAGCGTGTCTGTTTAATCTCAAGCTCAGCTGTAATGTATCATTCAGGTAGAGGTGAAGCTAGTGTGCGTTTATGTGTGTGTTCAGCCATCACTAACTGTGCTCTGACAAAGAGCAGAGGTGGCTCAGGCACTTCTGCTTGAGTGTGCTATTTGCATTAGGCTGTCTGATTAGCACATGGCTCATTTATACACCCAAACACACATACATCATGGAGGATGTAGACATGTATATTCATGCATTTGTGTTTGTGTTGTGCCTTAAATGTGTAGACCTCACAGTGTATTGGGTGACAACTCTGTGGGGAGCAAGTGAGGAAACTGGAGCAGGGGGAGACTATATTTTTCACATTTCTACACCTCACTACGTGGCCTTGGGCTCACATCATGCCTCTCCGCTCGCTATGTGCACC